TGAATGTTCTCCACCTTTTCATCAGTTTTCCTTGTTCTTTGTTCAATGTTCTCTGTTCTTATTTGAATATTTTGAATTCCTTGCATAATCATCTGCAGGGTCACTTTTTCCTGTTCTTTTTCTTGTTGTAACATCTGTATTGAACGTTGTCCTCCAGATGGTGAAGAGGAAGCAGTAGAAGTTGAGGAACCAGAGGCTGTTAGCTTCCTACTCATTTCAGACAATTCAAAATATTCAGGTTCTTCTAGACCTTAATCCAATTGTGAAATAACCAATTGTAATTCCAAGTACAAATAGTGGGAAACAAGAAACATCATCATCATCATCATCATCATCATCATCATCATAAATTCTTCAGGTTCTTTTATACCTTAATCCAATCGATTGGCTAGATGGCAGTAAAAACTCAAAAATGGAAGAAAAGACCATAAACACACACAAAAAAATAAAGAATTGTTAAATCCTGAAAAAGGCAGAAAAGTAAAAAATAAAAAACTAAAAAAGAGAAAAGGAAAGTTCTTCAGGTTCTTCAACACCTTAATGCAATTAAGAGGTCTCAGGTATAAAAGGATGCATAAGAAAAAGAAAAAGCCACAAAAATATATAAAAAAAACAATATGGAGGGTAAAAAAAAATACAATGGAGGGAGAGAGAGAAAAGAAAAGAGACTACTCCCTTAAAAAGAATAAGGAAGGAAATCATTAATACTAAAGCTTTTCCTTTAAAATAAAATGCAAACGTAAAAAAATTGACTTCAAAAAACAAAAAGAAAGACAAAAACAAGTTCCAAAAGGCCAAAAATCCAAATAGCTATTACGAAAAGTAAGCTAGTAAGGAGGGGGTTTGTTAAAGTAAGAAATAACGCAGCTTAAAAAATAAAAAGAGCACACTGCACTTTGTTTGATTATCCAAGGCTTTTGTTAAAATTTATAACTCTTCTCCAGAGTCTTATCACCTTTTTTTCCTATAAACTTCAACACCAGTCTCCAGCTGTTGATAGAAACCCAGAAGAGCACCTGCAATAATACTCTCCCATGCTCTTCCCTCTATCTTATCAAACAGGCAATGTCCTTGAAAAGAAGTCTCAGTTCTTTCTCAGCTTTGTCTGGTCAAGTAAAAGAAATAGAATATTTCCAAGCCTCTAGTTAGCAGTGTTACAAAGTTTCTTTACTTTCACTCTCCCACTCCTCTTCCAAACATAATATAATAAAAATTAATTAAAAAGGGGGAAAGATATTTAAAAAGATGACTAAAAGGGAGTCTCTAGCCTAGAATATTATAAAGTCAAAAAGGAGAGAAAGAATAGGTGAAAGAAGAAAAACCAGTCCAGTTTCAAAATATAAGATCGTGTAGAAAATCCAGCAATGAGAAAAAAAATAAAAATATTACTTTGACATTCCTATTTAAAATCGCCGCTTAATCACTTCTGTCAAAACTTTTACAGATTCTTTCTTTTCCTTAGGGTGTCCTTTCAAATCTTAAAGAAAAAGTTCTCACCAAACGGGCACACTTTCTCTTTCCGTTCTCTTTTGTTTCGGAGCTGTCCCAACTTCAGCAGCTTTAATGGCTGCCTGTTTGCCACTGGCAAAAAGAGCTTCTCCTGGATCTACCAGGGACTTTGCAGTATCCCTGGGATTGACAGGATACGCTCTTTACATTCACTGTCTCTTCGGGACGGTTTAGATCCGTTTGGACCATCCAGGAGCAAAGATATCGGCAGCGATCTCAGACCTCCAAGATTGCATGCTGTATCGTCACGACGCCAGCTCCACCCCCCATTCTATTCCATTCCATTCCGTTCCATATTCTATTCTATTCTATTCTATTCTATTCTATTCTATTCTATTCTATTCTATTCTATTCTATTCTATTCTACTCTATTCTTTAATTTCTATTCTATTATATTCTAATTCTATTTAACCACCTCTTATCCTGTGTTCCTCTGTCCATCCAACCAAATCAAACTGGGTCATTCTCCTACTAGATCCCAGTTTGAATTGCCACTTAATGGGGCAACTCTGCACATAACAACTCCCTCTTATTAAAAAATGGATCTATCCCATTTCTCCTAAATTCCAGGAAAGCTCTGAAGCCCTACCTGACCCATCTAACAAAGAGGAAGAGCGATGTGTAATAGGGAACTGGGACTGTAGGTGCCTAGCATTTGTACTTTAACAGATTTAACAGATTAACAGAGTTGGGAGAGACCTTGTAGGCCATCTAGGTTAACTTCCTGCTTTGGTAGGAGACCCTACACCATTTCTGACAGAAGGCAGTCCAATCTCTTCTTGAAAGCCTCCAGTGATGAAGCACCACAACTTCTGAAGGCAACTTCTGTTCTTTTGGTTGATTGTTCTCACTGTCAGAAAATTCCTGCTTATTTCCAGGTTGAATCTCTCCTTGTTCAGTTTCCATCCATTATTCCTTGTCTGGCTTTGAAAGATAACTTGATCCCCCCCTCTCTATGGAAGCCCATCAAATATATTGGATGTTTATCCAGATACTTGTTGATGTTTATCTTTGGGTTGCATACACTTACACATAGTAGGGTTTTTATTTATTTCTGCAGGAGTAGCTGCCTAAAGCCTGCCAGAATAGTCACAGCAAACAGGCATCAGGTGCACATCTCCTGTCCATGTGGGGATAAATACACTGTTCTTCTGCAGAAGTCTTAAGAATTAGAAGACAAAAGGCAAATCTCTCTCTCTCTCTCTTCCCCCTCTCTCTTTCTCTCTCCCCCCTTCCCTCCCTCTCTCTCTCTCTCTGTTCCTGTGAAACACCAACCTGTCTGTAGAATGTGTAAAGCAGCCCTGAATACCTAAAAGGTCCTGTTGAATTACTCTGTCTGAAATTCTTTGATTATTGAAGGTATGTTGTGGGAGCCTTTCTTTTTTCTGACTGTCTGAAAAAAGCTTCAAATGGGGAAAACGTTGACCCTGGGAAAATATGTTTTTATTGTTTTGAGTGATAGCTTTGAATCTGCAAACCTTCTTTCCTTCCTTCCTTCCTTCCTTCCTTCCTTCCTTCCTTCCTTCCTTCCTTCCTTCCTTCCTTCCTCAGTCACTCACTCACTCCTTCCCTTTCTTCCTCTTCATTTTGTCCCTCCCTTTCTTTCTTCCTCCCACCCATCCTTTGTTCCCTTCCTTTCTTCCTTTGCACTTCTTCTCCCATCCCTCTTGTCCTCCTTCCTTCCTTTCTTTCTTTCTTTCTTTCTTTCTTTCTTTCTTTCTTTCTTTCTTTCTTTCAATTTCTTTCTCTTTCCTTCCCCCTCCTCCCTCCCTTCTTTTTCCTCTCCATTTCCATCTTTCCATCATCCCTAGCTTTCTACCTTTTTCCTCTCCATTTCCTCCCTCCTTTTCTTCCTTATTTCCTTCCTTCCTTTCCTCTCTCCCTTTCTTCCTTTCCCTCTTTGTTCCTTCCTTCCTTCTTTCGTTTCTTCCTTTCTTTTATTTGTCTATATTATTTTCTGCTAAGTCAGCCCAGGTGGTAATGAAATAAAAAAAAATCAGCTGGAACAGCCCATGGGATTTTAACAATGACATTATAATAGTATGTCTGGAGTAAACAAAATGAAACAAAAAGTAGGTTTGCCCATTAACAAATTTGTATGTGTGCACATGCCTGGGGGCAATGGGAAAAGTGGGGAACAATTAATCAGGTTAAATAATAGTGAGCCTGCACATAGTCAGGAGAAAACAGGAGAAGAAATATGCATGAATATTTCAAAATATTTCATATTTTGGTAATTAGACTGTTAAATATGCTAATTGAAAAAGCATATTTGGTGTAGCCCCATATAAAATCTTAAACCTCTTGAAGGATGAGTGTATTTATTCCTGCAAGCATGATCTTCGGTAATCTTTAAGTGTGTTGCATGGAGGTTGGATTTTTTTTTGCATGACTTGTTTCTACTTGGAGAAAGATGGCTTTGTTTTGTGTGTGTGTGTGTGTGTGTGTGTGTGTGTGTGAGAGAGAGAGAGAGAGAGAGAGAGAGAGAGAGAGAGAGAGAGAGAGATGTATTCATTGTTTTGCCATTCCAGCCTGAAAGGCATTCTTGGTAAATGTCATTTCATGTTGTATTAGTCACTTTGGGTGGGAACATGTACTCGCAAAAAGTAATTTGATAGAACACCTGAACACCAGCCCTTGTTTTGCAAGAGGGTCAGGCCACCAAGAACCTTTTAAACAATAATTGGGGAAAACAGCATGTAACAGCAGTTGTCTGAGCTTGGTCTTGTATTGCTCCCCTGGCTTTGTAACACTTCTTTATTAACATGCCAGGTTTTGTAGAACCTGATGATATGATTCAGTCGGAGATAAGCTTATTTAAGGCTTGACTCATAAGCCGTATGCTCCTTTGCTGAACATCACCTGTTGCTTTTGAGTATGTTTGCTTGGAAGAGGAGTGTTTATTTTACATCAGGAGGGTGGGAGAAAGTTGTTCCATGTTCTGACCCAGCCATTGCAAGCAAATGGAAATGTGAAGGCTTCGTTGGATATCGGGCATCTCCCTTCTTGACCACATCACAAACAACAGCATTTAACAACATTTTGGTGTGGCACCAATTATAGAGAAGATGAGAGAAGGCCAGCTCCGCAAGTATGGAGATGTCCAGAGAGCAGCACCTTCCACTGTGGCCAAGACAGCCTACCAACTAGAGGTCAATGGCCAACAACTTAACGAGCATCCAAAGCAGAGATGCTGAAACACCATCAACAAAGATATGCAAACTGCAGACCTGCACCCTGGATCCAAAAAGTACACCCTGCACCTGCGGGAATATGCGAGGAGGAGGAGGAGGAAGATGGGAACTACATCAGCTCTTTTCCTTTTTTTTTCATTTTAAAAGAAAACTTTATTAGAGATTAAAAAAGAAAAACACTATGTACAATACATCGAATACAACCTTAAGTTGTAGACAAAATCTATATATACAAATACATAATAAATAAACATATAAAACATATGCTTCTAATCAAGTAAAACGGTGTGCTTTTTCCTGGATAATAATTTTACTACTATTTGTTTCTTATTTGGTAAACATTCTTAATTTAACTACTCCATTCATCAAAAACATGCCTTTTAATTTCCTGGTTTTTTTCTCTTTAATCCACCTTACTTTTTTCACCATTGAATTTCCTTTTGTTAGATAGCTCCCAATGTTCAAGTCTGTCAAGATCCTTCTGTATCTTAAGCCTATCTTCTGGAGTGTTGCCTATTCCTGCCAGCTTGGTGTCATTTGCAAATTTGATGAGTTCGCCATCTATCCCCTTGTCCAAGTCATTGATGAAGATGTTGAAGAGTACTGGGCCTAAAACAGAGCCTTGGGGTACTCCACTGCACACTTCCCTCCATGTAGATGCAGTTCTATTGAGGACTACATGCTGAGTGCAGTTGGTCAGCCAGTTACGAATCCAACTGGTGGTTATGCTGTCTAACCCACATTTTTCTACTTTATCTAGTAGCAGGTTATGGTCTACTTTATCAAATGCCTTACTGAAGTCCAAGTAAATTATATCAACAGCATTCCTCTGGTCCACTAATTTTGTCACTTTGTCAAAGAATGCAATAAGATTAGTCTGGCATGATCTGTTTTTAACAAACCCACGTTGGCTTTTGGTTATTACTTTGTTTGCTTCTAGGTGTTCACTGATTCGTTGCTTGATTATCTTTTCCAGAATCTTCCCTGGTATTGAGGTCAGGCTGATAGGTCTGTAGTTTCCTGGATCTATTTTTCCCTTTTTTGAAGATGAGAACTACATCAGCTCTTTTCCAGTCCTCTGGCAGTTCCCCAGTGCTCCAGGATCGTTGAAAGATATAGTCCAATGGTTCTGAGATCTCGTCTGCCAGTTCCTTCCGAACCTTGGGGTGTAATCCATCTGGTCCTGGTGATTTGAACTCGTCTAGGGTAGATAGGTGTTCGCTTACCATTTTCTTCCCTATTTTAACTTGTGTTCCTGTTCTGTTTTTTTGTGGTGCTGTTTTTGATAGGTTGGACTCTTTTTTCCCTTTGTGTGAAGGCAGATGAAAAAAACGAGTTAAGTAGTTCTGCTTTCTCCCTGTTGCTTGTCACCTTCTTGCCACTTTCTTCCAGCAATTGACCAATTGTTTCCTTGACTTTTTTCTTGTTTTTAACATGTTGGAAGAAGCTTTTTTTTGGTTATTTTTTTTACTTTTGTGGCAAGCCTTTGTTCATTGTGAGCCTTAGCTTTCCTCACTTCATCTTTACAGGCTCAGGCTATTTGCTGATATTCTGCCTTAGTTATTTGCCCTTCTTTCCACTTTTTATACTTGTCCTTTTTGTCTTTCAATTTGTCAGAGAGTTCTTTATGCAGCCATGCTGGTTTCTTTTGAGAGCTGTGTGATATGTAAAAATTACATATTAAGGATAACACCTGTGAAAATGAGAAACATAAGTAACGGCATATTTATTCTATTACTGACCTATGCAATATTACTGGAGTATTACTGGAATATTATATAAACATAAAAACAAGGTTGTTTTGTGTTCTGTAGAAATGTCAAACTTTTGGCTTGAACATGAAATGTCATATCTTTGGCCATGATTATATGTAAAATTGTTAAGGGTCATCCTGACCTAACGGAATTGGGTAATGAGCTATTGTCTGGTTTGCTAAAATTAAGAACTGCTGATGTTCATAACAGGAAAGGAGAAGCCATCGGAAGGGGGTTTCCAGAAAATGAGATTCTGTGGGTGGTGTTTAGTGAAAAAGTACCAGTAAAATCTAAGTGCTTACCCAGAGAAAAACAGGAAAGGTGACATAGATGTAACTTGTATGAAGAAAGCTATAAATGTATTACTCAATATGTGATAGTCGTCTCCATTCGCCTATCTTTTAGGAGAGGGGGTCCAATATTCCAATTTTTGCAAAACTGTGAATAAATATGTTGCAACACTGTTTTAAAAGTTGTCTAAACGCTGGGTTAAAAGGGTTGTTTGCCTGGGAAGTTTGTTTTAGCTGTGTGTGTGTGTGTGTGTGTGCTGTGTTAGGGACAGTACATTGCTGCTATTGTGCTGGGGTGTGTTTCATTTCCTTTTTCCCTTTCCTACGATAGATGGGGGAGAGTTGCAGTTTCTAAATGGGGGCATATTTTACGAAGACAGCTGCAGAAATTCCCTCTATTCCACCTTTTTCCCCTCTGGGTGAATTTTTAAAACAATGGAGTGAGCCTTGGTTATGATCTTACACAGCTAATCTGAATAAAGATTGAGTTTTGTACTGGGGCGTGGCCAATGCTTATTTTACTTCCTCCTAATTATAGGTGGAATAAATGGGGAGAATCTGACAGTTTTTGGATAAATGCTTTAAAGAAAGTGCTTGTAAAGAAGAAATTGAAAATGCAATTGTTGTATGCTGAGCCTTGGCTGCAAGTTCAGTGGACAAACCCTTTTCCTCCTACAACTAGAAAAATAATGTATGAAAGTGAAGAGGAAAGGGGGAGTTGGGATCCACTTGAATATGCTAGCTTCTCGGGACCTCCGTATAATATACAGGATGCAGCTGCTGCTGCAGCAGCAGAGATAGTAGAATGAGCAGAGGGGGATGATTTACCAGCAGTAAAACAGTATAGAGAGCTAAAAAAGGAGCTGACTTCTATGGAGGAGGGTGCTGACAGCTAGCCAGCTTCATCCTTAGGAGCTGTTACTAGATCCAGAACTAGAAAGGAAAATAAAATGCATCCATTAAGAGAAATGCCAAATGGGAGCACCCTCGGGAGGGCGGGGCTGATGTCGCGACGAGATGGACGAAGGATCTCTGGGATCCAAGACCAACGCCGATATCCCCGCAGCTGGACAGTCCGACTGGACGTAAACCGTCCCAAAGAGATGGTGAACGAGGAGAGCACATCCTGCCAATCCCAGGGACATCGCAAAGTCCCTGGTTGATCCAGGAGAGAAGCTTTCCAAACCAGCTGAGGTGGAAGCGGCCATTGAAGCTGCTGAAAGTTGGGACAGCTCTGGAAAGGAAGAAGAAAGAAAGTGTGTTGGCTCTGGGTGAGATTTTAAAAATTACCTTTGACAAGAGAGCACCCTAAGAAGGAAAGGAAATAAGATTGAAGACAGAAGACGTAATAGCGGTGGAGAAAATAGTTTGTCTGTTTAAAATAAGGGTTTTTTTAAGAAACGCTTTAGATTAAAAGAATTTTTTTTTTTTAACTGGACTGGACTTTAAAAATTTCTGAAAGACAATTACTAATGTTTTTTTTAAGGAGAATTTTTTTCGGTGTTGTTTTTATGTTCTTTCTCTCTTTTTGAAAAGGGATTTTATATATTAGAACTCCTTTTGAAACTTCTTTTCACCCTGGTTACATTGTAAAAAGGAAGTGAAAGTTAAGCCAAACAAGGTAACACTGCCATCTAGAGGTCCAATTCTTGTTTTTTTGTTTTTCTTGTTTCTTTTTAGTTAACAGTGGGGGAAAATTTCCCAGAAAGATTGTTTACATCTGGTTGAGAGAGAGCTAAGCACTGAAGAAATGTTTATACAGGTGTTGCTCTTGTAAAATCTCAACGGCTGGAGACTGAAGCTGGAAGAGAAAAGATTGTGGTGACCTTGGATTATATTTTGCTGGTGTTTTGAACATTGTACAGTGGCAGTGACTTGCTTTGTGTCAAAACTTTCTCAAGTGTGATGTTTTTGTTTTTTGTTTTGGCCGGTAGCCATGCCAGGCCTGGGCTTTCTGGTTTTGTTTTTAATTACTATCTAGGCCTCAGCCTGTCGGATTATAACTTTTTTTGTTACTTTTTCTCCTTACCTTGCTTCTTGGATTTTTTTTTCTCCTCTTTTCATTCCCTTTTGGATGACCAGTGGATTAATTTTATAACTTTGAAAAGGAAGTTTTTATATTCTTTTGGGGGGGGGGCTGTCAGTCTGTGCTCCGTTCAAAATCCAAGAAAGAAATACTTAGACTCCATAGATTAGAGAAAATAATTCTTTTACTGAAAAATGAAATGGTAGCATCAGGTAAAATTCTGAATCTGAGAAATTAGGCGCGCAGATCACATATACAAAGTGATGGAATTGTTCCCACCCCCCATAGTTCAAAAGATTCTTCCAATTAAAAGTTCTGGATATGATCATGTGGACATCTTCAGGTGGTGATGAGGCCTATGTCCGTTGACCTTGGCATATTTTGATAAAGATTTGCAGCTGCGCAGAGAAAAGAAAGCTAACCGAGAAATAGAAACCTAAAAGCAGGAATTTATACTCCCCCCGCACTCCTCATTTACACAACACAAGAATTTAACACCTCCAGCTCTCTTCCCAGACAATTCCCCCCTCCTCCCCCCGTTACTTATGGCAGCCAAAAGATGCAAAGCAATAGCAGAAGATCTTGAAGGCTGACATTCGGCCCTCCTAGAAAAAAGACCTTAGTCCTGCAAGAGAGAAAAGAAAAACATAAAAGATACTGATTACCAATCAAATACATTTCTAGGGTTTGTCAGGATATTTTGTGCGAAAGTCTTTGATCAGCTTAGGGGCTCTAACATCCTTCTCATTGACTCACTCAGCTTGGGAAGAAGGGAAATGTTTCCAAGCTACGAGGTATTGGAGGCAACCCCTCCACTTCCGAGAGTCCAAAATTTCTTTAACTTCAAAATGTTGTTCACCTTCACGTTTTTGCTTCTTTTTTTTTCTTTTTCTTCTTTTTGGCTTTGGTCTTGTTTATTATTATTATTACTGGGTTTTTATTCTTATTTTTATTTTCTCTTGTGGATTACTTTTTAATTGGATTAAGGTCAGGAAGAACTTGAAGAATTTTTTCTTCTTTTCTCTTTTTTTGCCCTTTCTTTTTCTTTTTCCTTTTCTCTTTTTTCTTCTTTTTCTCTTATTATTGTTTTTTTTTTATTATTGGCTTTTTCATTTTGGATTATAATTGGCTACTTTTTTTTGGATTAAAATTTGAAAGAACTTGAAGAGCTGGAACCATTTAAAATGAGTAAGAAACATATCTTCGGGTGCCTCTGTGTCTACTTCTGCCTCCCCACCATCTGGACAGCGTTCAATTCAGACAATGTTAAAGCAAGATAAAGAAAAAGAACAAGAAAGAGTAACTTTACAGATGATTATGCAAGGAATTCAAGATCTTAAGA